CTCTGCTCTGGAGCAGCCTCACCTCCAGTCCTGGGCACAGTTTGGGCCCCTCAGCACACACAGGACATCTGAGGGCTGGAGCTGTATCCAGAGGAGGGGACCAGGATGCTGAAAGGCCCCGAGGCCAGGACGTGGCAGGAGCAGCTGAGGCCACTTGGCCCATTCAGGGAGGAGAGAAGGCTGAGGGGTGACCCCATTGCTGTCTGCACCTTCCTCCCGGGGGGCAGGTGCTGATCTCCCCTTCTGGGAGCAGCAGTGGGACCCCAGGAGATGGAACAAAGCTGCCTCAGGGGCAGTTCAGGTTAGGAAAAGGTTCCTCACCCAGAGGCTGCTCAGTGCCTGGAAGAGGCTTCCCAGGGAAGGGGTCACAGCACCAAGGTCAGGGAGTGTCTGGACAGCACTCAGTCCCTGTGGTTTCATTTGAAGTGGTGGTGCCAGGAGCAGGGTTTTGGACTCAATGATCCTCATGGATCCCCTCCAGCTTGAGCTATTCTGCCATTCTATGAACTTTCGTTTACTTAAACTTAGCTCTTCGTAATATTTTTGTGATTTAATTTATTCTGACATGGATTTTTCAACTCTGCCATGCCATTAGTCCTGCAAGACCCAACATGTGCAGGGCTGTGCTGCTCTAGGACTTGTTTGGCTGGGATTTATCCCCATAGCATCCTGCTATTCCCAGGGTGACAGCATGCACACGTGGTAGTGCCTATCACTCCTGTCTTTACCCACAGGCATATCCCAAAAACCTGGCAGATACCTCAAAATGTGAAGCAACAGCAAGCTCCTGCCATCCACAGCTTTTATTCCCACTGGGAAGGTCACTGCAGTGCTGTGTATCAGTTTCATGCTTTCTAGGGGGATGTTGTGTGCAGAGAACTACAGAACAATTCTGGTCTGGACTGCCACATGTATACAGCTGACACCTGAATTATGGCAAGTGGTGGATTACACTTCCAGTGTTGCAGAGGAACTGGTTTTAATTGTCAGCAAATAGACCCAGACAAGATAATTGGAGAGGCTCTTTCAGAAGTACTTTTCTTGTGTCTCCCATTACTGTCAGCACTTACTCCATGCTTGAGCCAGAGCTAAGTAGAACAAGAGCTGCTGTGGCACCCTCCAGGTGAATTGTACAGCATCCCTGTCACCACTGTGATCACAAGAGACTGCTATTTTCCTCTTGTGCTGGTGCTGAGCAGAACAAGGGGCACAAGAGCTGTGCAGGGGAAAGCATTTTTTACTTTACCCTGTTCTACTCCCAGCAGCTCACCTGGTCACTGTGGTCACAGCAGGCCCATGAGCTGTGATCCATTGAACACCTGCTAGTATAACAGCACTAACTTCCTATTCCCATTTACACAATAATCCTGTTCCAGGAGCTGCACAAACCAGGAATAAATCTACAACCCCCCCACTCCATCCACATGCCAGCACAGGCTGTCACTTCCAACCCTGGCGTTACAGGGTTGGAAAAGCAGCTTTTACAGGAAAAACAGCTTTCCCTGCACTGTTTTTGGTACTTTGGACCGAAATCACCGTACTCAGTTCTTGCCCAAAGGAAAAACACTGGAGCAAGACTTAAGTGTCTGCTTCTAGAATGAATAAAAAGAGTGTTTAAGATATTCTAGATCAGACAACCCTGCAAGACACTTTCCTTGAACAAGCGGATGTTGCCCTTGAGTCAGAGAATCACCCAGAATCATGCCCAAAACTTGAGCCCTAGTACAAGCTGGTGTGAACTACACCCTGAGTCATGCATTAGCTGCTGACATCTTCGTGGTCAGCACTTTTTCCATGGTGTGGATCATACCAACTGCTCTGCCTTTCCTTCTCCCTCAGGGACACACCTATGTGCTTCCAACCCAGCCTGGTAAAGACAGTGTTGCTAAAAGGGTGGAAGTTTACGAGCCACTTCAGAGTAGTTTGTTTATTGCAGATTTTTACTGGATTATGAAACAGCTGAAACTTCCCCTCTGACACCTACACACACATTTAGCAAAGTAATAATGTGTGATGGAGCTGTGAGAGTTGAGCCCATATTCTCACCTAATTCTCATTCTTTTCACCTAACCACAAAAAAAAAGGAGGGGGAAGGGTTGATCGCAGTGTAAAAGCAACCATTATGATCCTAAAGACACACTGAACTGCTGCCAGTGCAGTATTTGTGTTAGCTGTGCTTCTCACCTTTTAAAGTAATGTGTTCCTGTTTGCTTTAAACAGCCCTGACAAAGCCAGGACAAAGCAAAGAGCTGCTGAGAGTGTTGCAGAACTTTATCACCAGCCACATCCAAATGATGCATCTTTCAAATGATCCAGGGTTTGCATCACCTCTCAAAGACATTCCCAGCACCTCAGCTATTTGTTGGGATTTCCAGGTTCCTCAGCCAAGTTCCTGCTTTCACAGTTTTCACTCTTTGATGTATAAAATTGCTCTGTGGATGTTACAGTGCCAACCTAAACTACACTTGGAATTGGAAATAGTTCAAGTTATTCCATGTGTGAAGAAGAAATCCAAGAATTGTTTTAAATTCCGCTCCCCATTGCTCATCTAAAGGTGGTTACAATCAGGATTGAGACAGAGACATATCCCAGCTTTAAACAGAATCTGAAACCACAGAATTTAGAGGTAGAAATGTTATAGTAGGAAAAAGGAGGATTGCTTACTTGGGCCTCTCAGCGCTGCTCCAAGCAGTGATATTGCAAGGTGAGAGACTTATTTTAGTGCACATCAGACACAGAAGTTGTGCCCTTCCTTCCTTACAGCAACACAACTCTTCCTGATATATACAATCAAATAGAAAGTGAATCAAACAGAGGTTGTGGCTGCCCCATCCCTGGAAGTCTCCAAGGCCAGGCTGGAGGAGGTTTGGAGGAAGCTGGACTGGTTGCAGGTGTCCCTGCCCAGTCCTGTGGATGGGACTGGATGGTTTTCCAGGACCCTCCAGCCCAAACCAGTCTGTGATTCTATGATTTAAGGACAAAACTTGAATCAATGTAAAAAAACAAAACACATGGAGGGATGCGTTTTGAATATAGGAAAAGGCCAGGACCAGACTGCAAATACGGTCCCAGATTCCAAGTTTCACTTTTAACAGTACTTTTGATTTGTCTTTCACAATTTGCTACAGGACACTTTGATTTTTATCAATCCTGCAACCCACATTTCATGAGAAGGCAGGTTTCTCTTTTGTCTTTTTAAAGACAAATTTATATTGATTATACCAAATGCAAAAAAAAATCTTCAAAACCCCACAAAAACAACAACAAAAAAGTCAGGTAGCCCAATTATGAAGGACATTCCTAAAAGGTTGTTTCCAGGGTCAGGTTAAAAATGAGTTATGACAATGCCAAGTGGTTTTCCCATCAAACTATTGCTGCTACTGCACGCAAAGCAAAGCACATGCAGCCAGCATGCAGGTCCTGTAGCCTTTTACTCTTGTATGGAGATTTATCCCAACCCTTTCCCGCACTCCCAAAAGAGATCTCAGGAATAATCACACTTATGATGACCAACACACACCAGCCTCAATGTTCCACTCCCAGAAAAAGTGCTGCTGACAGAGCTGAACACTGAGGGTGTTAGGGTTTTTGCTGGTTCATTACAGCATTATCACAAGCTGAGCACTTCATTGTCTGGCTCAGGATCTGGCACTGCCAAAATCTTCCTGGCTTTCCAGAGGAAACCCATCCAGAAGGATGAGTTGTGCCAAGGAATCCCTGCTTCAATTGCACAGTGAAGGGCAGCAGCCAAAGGAGACAGGCAATGTGGCTCCAGTAACACAGAAAGAAATCTTGATATTTAAAGGAGTTTCAGGTATATTGGTAAAATGCCATCTGGCCCCTCCCTGTAATTCATGAATAAGGAGCACTCAAAACATAACCACTGTCACAGCAATCTTGGCTCAGAAAGCTCAGTGTAGCTGGTTAAGAGCCTTCCCTCTGCATTGCTGACCAAGGCTGGGGCACCCACAGCCTTGGAGTGGCCGGGACATTCCCAGGCTGGTACTGGGGTCAGTTTTAGAAAGGGATTGTATCTACAAAAAAGTAATGGTCAACATCTTACCAGACAGATATTGGGAATATGCACAGGTACTTTTCAACCTGCTGAGCTCCAAGCTCAATCCTTCTTTTGAGGAGTGTGATGTGTATTTTACCAGCGTTCTCTGTGAAGCTGTTTCACAAAGAGAAGCAGTTCCCTCTGAAGTCTGACCTACTCCATGATCAGAAGTATAACCAAAGCAGCTTAACTCAAGTATGTCCTCAAGTGTATTTTAGGCTGTAAACCTGAACTTAACTGTTCTTGCCCAGTCTGAATTCTGTAGGAAGCCCCCAGTACACTCCTCTCCCATCTGAGATCCTGCACTAATCAACACTGCGACACCATTTTTCTACTCATGCTGAAATACACCACCCTCAGCAAACAGCTCCAATTTAAGCCAAAAAGTCCTTATCACAAATTACCACCAGGGTCAGGTGCAGATAACACTGCAGCACCCAGGCTGATAACCTGATCTTATGGCAACACCAGGCACAGAACCACTCCAATACAAGTTCCAGGAACGTGAGCTTGGACCCCCTGTGTGACCAGCATGGATACTCACCTGCAGCAGGCAAAGTGCAGCTTTTCAGAGATGGTCAGGAAATGGTGAGAAACTGACTTTAACAGTTGTTTACAGCGCAAAGAAATTCTAGGAAAGACAAGTTGGCATCAAGTCACATTTCCCATGTGCCCATGCTGACCCAATTCCTCGGGGCAGGTGTGCAACTTGGGACCAGAGATGCAGCTGTCACACCCAGCCACACCTGCAGAAAGGACAGGGTGACACACTGGGACACAAAGAGCTAGTGCTGGTCTCAAGCACACCACCAAGAGTGTGTCAAGAGCTACCAAGTGTCTCACTAAACCAAGGACGTTCTCTCCATAAAAACAGGGTAAGCTGTGATTTCCCCAGCAAAACGCAGAGCAAGAATCCCATTTCACTGCAATGAACACAAAAGTTTGAGTCACCAATTTAATTTTATACAAGTCAAACTACACATTGTATAAAGAGTACAAGGCAGTTCTAATGTTTGCTACTGCATGTTACAAAAATCAATTTAACTATAAAGGGAAATTTTTGGGATGAGTCCTATTCCACAATTTAAGTGAATTGGCAACTGTGGTTTAGCAAAGCCTTTGTTAAAACTAGAACTCTAGCTCCAAGAGATTACATTTCCAATAAAGTTCGGACCTACACACGAGGATTATAGTTCTCCTAGTCTGAAGCAAAACGTTAACATAAGTGAGTCAAAGGGGAGGGAAGACAGATTACTTTACCTGGGTTTCATATCCAGTGGGGATTCAGAGGCTGACAAACCATACAGCATACTTAAGACTTGGACCACAGCCAAGAGACACCTTCGTGTCTGACAACAGTGACACTTGAGATTCAAGCAAGAAACGTCAGAAAACTTTTATTCTTTCAAGTCTGGAACGAAAGGGTTTTCAGCAATACAGGTTCCAGAGTTCTTCTGTTACCTTTAATACAATCTCAGTATGGGGGGAATGTTCTTTTGGCAAGTCAAGGTACAACCTAAGTCCTCCAACTTGAGTTTATTGCTGGTCTAAAATCTTCCCAGTACTGTTTACTGGTTTGTACAGTTTGCCACCTGCTTCAAAAATTAAGATAAACTGTGTGACCTGCCCAGCAAGGCAATCCTGCCTTTGGCTGGAGGCTGAAACCTATTAAACTAATGACACCCATAGCTCTAATGCCATGAAAAAAATAAGAAAAAAAGGATACTTTCAAAAAGCCCATATTTAAGCCTGTTTATATTGTTTATTTTTAATATAAAAACCACTTTGCATTTAAGAGTAGTTAAGTTACTCCTGCTGAAATGCTATAAAATCAAACTTTCAGCTCAATTTCTACAAAAGGGGGACTCTTCCTGCTTTGTACCACCATTCCACCTGGTATTATCAAATTTGGGATACAAATTAAACCTTTAGGCCTTATGACTTAGTTCTTAGGCCATTCACTCCTGCAAGAGAAAAAACCAACTTCTGAAGTACTAACATAACACTAATGGCCTGACAGGTAGGAAAATGTTCCATAATAGTGTGCAAGGTGAGAGGAGAGTTCTAGTCCTAATCTCTTGAACTGGATCTTGATCGTGAGCGGGACTTTGAGCGAGACCTGGAGCGGGACCTGGAGGCGGCTCTTTTGGGCGGTGACTCGGAGCGAGCCTTGGCAGATGGCTGCTGCTGAGGAGAGTTGGAGCGAGACCTGCTCCTGGACCTGGACTTAGACTTAGCATCCCCTTTACCATTTTCTTTGGGAGACCGAGACCTGGACCTGGATCTGGACCGGGACTTCTCCGACTTCTCCTTGGATCTGCTGTGTGAGCGTGAACCCCTGTCAGACTTGGGTTTGGATTTGCTCTTTGATCTGGACTTCCTGCTTTTGGATCGGGAACGGGAGCGGTCTTTGCTTCGTGACCTGGATTTAGATCTTTCAAAGAGAGAGAGAAATTTATTCTGCATGGTCTGCAGTGTACTTCCAGCAAGCTGTAAACACTTGTCAGTGAGGAGCTTCCTGCACTGGCAGCATTAACTCTGGGGCACTTACCGGGAACGACTTTTGGAGACACTACGGGATCTGCTACGGCTGCTCCGGCTCCTCCGACTTCTGCTTCTAGATCGTCTCCTGGATCGTGACCTGCAGACATTTAAAATGTCATTCCCTTTCTCTTTGCCTGATTGTGCCCTCCATCATCAAGTACAGGATGGAAGGGATCTTAAACATCACACTGTTCCATCCCCTGCCATGGGCAGGGACACCTTCCACTACCCCAGGTTGCTCTGAGCCCCATCCAGCCTGGCCTTGGACACTTTCAGGGATGAGGCAGCCACAGCTTCTCTGGGAAATCCATCCTCACAGGGAAGAATCTTCCTGAATCCATCTAATGCATTGTGCTATCTAGTAGCACAATCTAACACATTCTACAGAACTTCTCAAGAGTAAGGGTGGTCCCAGCAGGGTGGGTTCAACGTACTGTCAGTGAATCACATCTGAGGTTTCACATGTGATGAATTGCTCAAAGCTGGCTTTGCTGCATAATGTAAAATACTTCCTTCTACACTGAGGCCTCCTCCTGTTCCTAAACCATCAGCTCAAGGTAACTGCTGCAGGTAGGGTACTCATCCCCATGCTGCCTGTAACCATTTTTGCTGCAGTGACCAGCATGACCCCCAACTTACCTGGACCTGCTGCCAGAGTAGGATCGCCTGTGGCTGGAGCGTGGCTTATCCTCCACCAGCCGGATCTTCCTGCCGTTTATCTCTGTGCCATCCAGCTTGTCCAGGGCGCGTTTCATGTCTGAGTACGAGCGGAACTCAATCACTCCTTCATTTGTACGCTCTTTGTGGGCATCTGCATAGGTCACCTCCCCAGCCTGCCTCATGAAATCCTGCAGGGAGCAGAGGGCAGTTACAGAACGGGGGCTCTGCAAGCAGCACTCAATGCACACATTTTAATTATTCTACTTCAACAAAATCAACATTGCTATTAAAGGAAGCTATTGCTTCCTGATACTCACAACAGACTCCACACAGAACATCAATACCTACTTTTAAATCCTGCCAACTACAGCGACTGGAAAGGTTCTCAACAATCAGCCTGAACTCTGTACGAACGGGCGGTCCATATTTATCTCGTCCCGATTGTCTCCGACTGCTATATCCGCCACCACCCCCACCTTGATTGTACAAAGAAACAAAGTTAGGTTGTCTCCTAGCATGAAGGAAGCTCAATGTTCTGAAAGTTAGTTTAACAGTCATATTTACTGGAGTAGGACTTTATTTCGCTAAGCCTCCAATAAAATTTGCAATTTTGCCATGATCTATATTAATGGCAAATCAAACAGACTAACATCCTACAAGTCTGTGCTCCTACGATCTGTTAGAGAGTGACTGCTCCTTATTAGATTCACCTTGCTAAGTTTTATTTTACAGAACATTGTAAAATATAAAACTTAACTGATTACATGCATTTCTACATTTTACAAAAACGTTTACTAGTTACACTAAGTACTTACATCACAGTATGAGGTTTTTGGTGGTGGTTTGGCCACAAAACACGCAAGGTAACAGTCACCTAGTTCAGTTTAACCAGTTTTGTCTAACCCTTGGAATCCTCACCATCACCCTGCGTCTAATGGCAAAAGGCTGCTGTCGTCATGGCTTCCGGTAAGGTCAGCCAAAGGGTCATAGGGCAAGGGTCACACAATGTATGGAAAAGCCATGGCCAGGAAAGGCAGTCATCTTAGCCTCAGTGGACACAGCCTCAGCCCCACTGGTCACTTTTAAATTGAAACATCAAGGACTTGTTAAAAAGTTTGAATTGAACATGCAACAATTTTAAAACAACATACATTTGATTTTTTTAAAAAGACAGAAACCCACCCCCCCCAACACCACGTTTCCAAACACCACCGAAAAATCAACCTTAGTACTTTCAATTACAGTACTAGGCCGTTCAAGCGCTACACAGCTCAGCTCAAGAAGCTACACGAGCAAGCTGAGCACAGAAATATTTACAATGCCCCCCCTTCAGCACAACAGATTCCTGCTCGAAAACCTCCCCCCGCCCCTCCCATATATCCAACTGAATCAATCACATCAAAGTTCACAGCTGAGCGATTCTCCCCCAGTTACACGACGATATTTATACAGTAACATTACTGATGCAACATTGCTGTCACATCTAAACGCTCCCAGGAATACTGGAGCCGTTAATGAGAAGAGCATACCCTTTCTAGAAGGCCACGACTTGGTAGCCAGAACTGCTCCGGGATACCCGAGGGCGCCGCTGGTGCTGGGGAAAAGGCTGCAGCCCCAGCGGTGCACCGGGTACCCCCCGCTAACGACCCCCCCCAGCCCAGCTCCGGGGCTCAGTGCCAGCCGAGCCCTGCCCGCCCCCGGCCCTGCCCGCCGCCGCCCCGAGCCCCGCGGGGAGGGACGGGCCCGGACTCACTGCGGCTGCTGTAGCTGTAGCCATCCCTGTCGCGGCGGGGACCGCGGGCGTGCTCCACGATAACCCGCTCCCCGCACAGGTCCTTCCCGTTCAGCTCGTACACGGCATCGTCGGCGTCGCGGGAGTCCTCGAACTCCACGAAGCCGTAGCTGGGCAGAGGAGAAAGGCCCGGTAAGGCGGCGGCGGGGGCACAATGTCACGGCCCCGGTCCATGTCGCAGCCCCGGGACGATGCCGCGGCCCCCCCGCTCCGCTCCGCTCCCCCCCCGGCCGCCATTATTCGCCGGCGCCACGCGGCAGCGGCCGCGACATGGACGGGCCCGGCCCGGCCCGGGGCTCTCGGGAGGGGCGGACGGACGAATGGCGCTCACCCGTTTTTGAGATCGACCTCGAGCAGGCGGCCGTAGCCGCTGAAGAAGCGCTGAATGTCCTTCTCCCGGACGTGGTAGCTCAGGCGACCGATGTAGACGCGCGGCATGTCCGCGGCGGGGAGAGGGGGGAAGGAGGGGAGGGAGAGGAAAGGAGAAGAGGAGGAAGAGGAAGGGGAAGGAAGAGAGACAGAAAGAGAAAGTGAGAGAGAAAGAAAAGGAGCGAAAGCGCTGGCGGCGTGAGTGGCGGAGGCGCTACGGGCCCGCTCCGCACGGCCGGGCCTGGCGCACCACAATGGCGCCCGCCACCCGCCGCCGCTTTTATAGGGGGAGGCGGGGCTCGCGCGAACGTCACCGCGCAGCCGCGCGCGCTCGGGGGGCGGCGGTTGAACGCTGCGCGCGCGCGCGCGCGCGGGGGCGCGGGCAGGGTCCGGCGGGAGCTGCTGGCGGTTGTGCGCATGCGCCGCCCGTACGTGGCGTCTGCCGCGCTCAAGCCTGCAGCGCTCCCGGGGTCGGTCCCTCAGGGCCCCCGGGATCGGTCCCTCAGAGCCCTGGGGTCGGTCCCTCAGAGCCCCGGGATCGGTCCCTCAGAGCCCCCGGGATCGGTCCCTCAGAGCCCCCGGGATCGGTCCCTCAGAGCCCCCGGGGTCGGTCCCTCAGAGCCCTGGGGTCGGTCCCTCAGAGCCCCCGGGATCGGTCCCTCAGAGCCCTGGGGTCGGTCCCTCAGAGCCCCGGGGTCGGTCCCTCAGAGCCCTGGGGTCGGTCCCTCAGAGCCCCCGGGGTCGGTCCCTCAGAGCCCTGTCACGGCCTCCTGAGAGCCCGGGCTGCCCCTGGGGCTCTGTGTGTGTGGGGTCCCTTCCAGGCTGTGCAGGAGAATCACCAAACACCAGCCTGGAGTCACCAAGACTGCGCCCTGACTTCCATATTCTGAATTAGAAAAATTCTCCTTATCTGCTGATAAAAATCCTCTCATATGTGGATAAATGCACTGTTTTACAGTCTGATGGGCTTTACATTCGAGGTATTCATAGTATACACTATGATTTGTATATTTGAGACAAACTTCTATATATCTAATTACATGAAATACTTAGATTTTATAAAGCATTTTTATTCTAATGCAGATAAAATTTTATGTTGCATACTACATAAAAACGAACTTTGTGGAAAACAAAGTTCAGTCTCTAGAATTTTTTAAAGTTTAATAAGGGAATAAAAAAGGACAATGTCCAGCACTGGGGTGTTTCTGGCTATTGGCCAAAGAACACACTGGTAGATTAAGTAAGTGTTATATATATACTGTTACATTACTGAGGTACATACATATTCATGTGTTTCATGCATTATTCAAACATTCTTGTGAGCTTTTTGATGTCTCAAGAACTCTTTTGTTTAATTTTACACTCCGACTTTTCTGTGTGACATCCTGTGGGTTAAGTCCATATATTTTATTTCTTCTCCTGTTTCCACCCTGTTGTTCCACTCCCTGATAAAGAGTTCTTCTAAAATTCTTCTCCAGCGCTCTAGTTTATGTCACTGTTATCACTTAGAGAGGTCAGTCAGCAGATGTGGGGGAAACAAGCATTATTGCCTTACACCATTCTTTTAGTTGCATAGGAGCATTTTAACATTTTGTGGTTTGCTAAGGCCTACAATATAATACAGTCATCACACCACTATTTCTGCAAGCTATACAGTGCAAAACTAATAGATTGTGTTACACTAACAAGCAGCCAAAAAGAGTTACAAATTGTACCATATCCAAATACTTATGATCAATACCAACAAGTAAAAGCTAATACATAAATTAGCAAATTTAATACATACATTTGCAAAAGCCAATATTATATTGTCATTATTAATATAATCTAAATAGTGAAAAGGCCACATTTAGTCCTACTGCAGGATTTTTCCCAGTTGCTTTAAAAGCAGCTTATGTTTACCTCCTGCTTCCATGCTGGGAAATCCCTGTCTGTGACAGCCCAGGGCATCACCACTGCCTTCCCTATCCGGGGTGTTGCCCAGAGTGAATCTGTAATAAAGCAACTACTGAGTTTGAGTTACAGAACTGGGAGAATCAAGTCACAGTTTTTTCTCATTTAATAAAAGCTTGATCCACATAGTGCAACAGGCAGTGAATGGCTTGTTACAGGGGAAAGGGCTCGGATGATTTCACAAATTGATGGAGTGTTTTCTGTGTGCAGTTACAGCAACTAATTTATAAGTTGCTGTATTGTTTTTTTCCTTATGATATATAGGTATTTTGACTCGTAGATAAATTTAGCCATTACACATCTCTGTGTAGAAAATTCAAAAAGTCTTTTAAAGTCCTGAATAGCCCTACACAGAGAGGAACAGTATGAGATGTTGTATCTTGTCCCTGAGCCTACTGAAATAAAAGCTCTCCTGGAAGTGTTGGGATGTAGCTCACACTCAGGGTTTTCCACCTGTAGCACTTCTATTGGAGAACAAGCTCTGAAGCACCAGAGCTTTCTCAGAAACTGATGGGAAAACTGTTTAGTAATAAAGTGTCACAGTGTCTCTGAGCCTCTCCTCTGGGCAGCAACACCATTGCACTGAGTGGGGCACACACAGAATTAAAGGATTAATTCTACAAAAGACTTAAAATGTAAAACCCACATTATTTAAGTAATTTGTGTCTCCTTTGGGATAACTGCAGGTTGTAGGGCCTAGTCCCAAAGCTCCCCTCTACAACACAGCTGGATTCTGTTATTTTCCACTCCTTTTCTCCCTAAGAAATTACTCCCTGGCACAAATTAAAAAGCCCTTGATAGGGGCATTCACCTGGAATTGTCTGTGCTGGCACCTATGGAGCTGCCTGTAAGACTCACTGGAAACAACCCCATTAGATAGGTACAGCTAAACCATCCCATGCCCAGTGAGGGCAGAGTGAAAGCCTGGACTGAAGTTCAGGGATAAGGCAGGAAACTCAGCCTGTTTTTAAGGGCTTCCCTGCAGATGGATGCTCTTCAGGACCAGAGCCCTGAGGAACTGCCTTCCTCCAAATACCTGCCCTTCAGTGCTGTTTTCACAGCCCATAAAAGCTGCTCTCTCATGGGTGAATGGTGCTCATTTCAACACCTCTGCCTCTCAGTATAAGGAATTTCTTTCCCTGTTCCAACAGGGAAAAATAAACTCTTGATGGCAAAAGTGCTATCCATGCAACCTCTGAGCTCTGAATCTTCGCCTGGTGTTTACATCAGCACCATTTCTGGGGAGAGCATCCCTGTGCCGTGCCCTGGAGGTGGATGAAATGCAGCCTGTTCAGCTCAGGGCCACACAGAGTAGGAGTGATCACAGGCCCTGTGCTTCCTGGCTGGTTTTTGTGCACGCAGAGAGCTGATCTTTGGCCCTCCCCACCCTGGAACGGGTGGTGGCAAACAAAAGCACATGAAGGAATTGGTTTTCCTGTAATGAGACAACCCAGCAAATCCAAAAGAAAAGTCAGGTTAGAAAAATCCCCAAGCCAGTCTGCAACAAAGCAAGATGGGAGTGAGACAGATCAGGAAAGGGAGAAACAGCACTATCAGTGCATCTGCTGGGTGAGGGAGTGTCTAGATGGGAAAAGGAGACACAGTTCCCTGCTTCCTGCTTGTGTGTAAGGAGATCCAGCAGGATCTCATCACAGCACCTCCCTGGGACTGGGCCAGCACAGCCCCCAGAGCAGCTCCACAACTGGGCCAGGGCCTCCACAGCCAGAGCTCCTTTCTCCAAAGCATCAGTGCCTGGGCCCCATGTGCTCTTTGGAATATGCAGAGGATGTGACACACGGGATGAGGAGTCCCGTGTCCCATGGGATGCTGATACACCAGCACTGGCTGTTGTGTCTTTCAGGCTGATAATGTGATGGCTGTCTCTGGTGGAGCATCTCAAGGCTCTTGGCAGGTGCCAGCAGAGTGAGATTTGCTGAGGCCACAAGGAAAGGGAGGGAGGATTCATGTTAGGATCTTGTCCTTTTGTTTTGTTTTTCCATTTCTGTCCTTGAGAAGGAATCAAGAGTCTTCAAGGTGCCTCCTCACTTGGTACCACATCTTCCTCCAAGCCATTTGCCTATCTTTCTTTCTCACATCCCCTGCCCTTTTTTCAGTGTTTGTCCCCCATAATCAGTGATGTGTTTTCTCATTGTTCATTCTTCCTCTAGCTTTCTCCCTCCTTATTCCTGGATTAGAACCAACCTGGGGCCCAGAAGGTGAATGGCAAAACCTCCCCCTATTCCAAGGCCATTTAGGGACCTCTCCAACCAGCCTTGGCTGTAATTAGTATTGGCCGTACCCTTGTGCTGTCTTATTCCTTCTCTTTTGGTCTGTTGGAAATCCTGGAAGACAAGAACTGGCTGTAAAGCAGTGACACAGTGACCAGAGGTGAACCTCATCTCTCCCACAGTCCAGGCAGGATGGTAGGGATCGCTCAAAGCAGATAAGATCCAATTATCTTCTCCATCCTTCCAGAGCAGTGTCTGACCTCTCTCTGTTGTGCCCTGTCATTTTTACACCCTTGATTGGCAGTCCTGTTCCTGACATCCACAAGCACACTGCAGGCTCAGCCCTGAATCCACAGCTTTTCTCACGCCCAGAGGGATGTGTGCTCCTGGGACTCTGGATAAACCCCCAGACCTGTGAGTTTTATGGTTTGATCCACCAAATCAGCTGGAGCTGCACAACTGGAACCTGCAACTCTTTAGTTCAGACCTTTGTTCCTTTTCCCTGGGCACTTAAGAGAAATTAAGACAGATGAGTATCATGGTATTTCTGTGCGACAGTGGAGGGAGGGAGGAGTGTCAGAAGAAGAAATTACATTCATCTTTTTCCCTACTAATAGTGAAAGGCCCTGATCTCTCGGTACAAAGGTTCAGGTCTGTAATTAATCATAATCTGCAACATATGCAGCAGAGCTCTGGTAACCTACACACCTTTTATTGTTAGTCCAATATAAATATCAATGTAATTTGTCTGTCTTGTTGGGGGTTAATATTTGGCTTGTGATTATTTCCTATAATCTGTTGTCAGAGGAGCCCTCAGTGTGAAATTCATGTTCTTCCTCCAGCCGTGCCAGCACCAAGTATGGCCATATATGAGTGGCTCATGAAAACAGTCTAAAGTATGCATATTATGAATTTATTATCCACCAGCCTTGTGTTGCAAGACTGGTGTCTCAGGATGCTGCTGTCAAATGTCCGACTCTTTCTGTTGCACTTCCCTCTCCCATCAGCCTGTTCTTGTCATGCTTCTCTGACTGGGAACCCAGTTCTGAATCTGGGGCCTGCTCCAGAGTAAAAAT